AATGAATTGAAGAAGAGAGGAGGGGAAGGAGAAGAAAGAAAGGAGAAAAGATGAAGAAAAGTAATAAGATTAAGATAAGTAAATAGAAGATAATAAGATAGATAGAAAAAAATAAAAAAGAGAGAAAAGATTAGGTTTATAAAATAAAAGAAAGATATAGAAAAAACATTATTTAAGAGTAATAGAAAAAAAAGTATATTAAAAAATGTTATAGAAGAAATAAAGAGGGAAATTAAAAAATTAAAAAATATATAAAGGTATATTATAAATATAAATAAAAAAAAAAAAAAAAAAACAAAAAAAAAAAAAAAAAAAAAAAAAAAAAAAAAAAGTAGAAGAAATATAACAATAATTGCCCCCCCCCCCCCCCCCCAAAGCTTTGGCAAACTTATCCCAAGCTTCTTTAGCACACTCACAGTTCTGAATATGTTTGAACTGATTTTCACAAACCGAGTTGAAAATCAGAGATAGTGTTTTTGAGTTTACTGTAGCAATGCTGTTCCCAGCATCATTCCATTTTCCCTCTAGTTTTAGAGTAGTTTTCCCATTTTTAGTCTTCAAGACCGGAGGATCCCATCCTAGATTTGTTGCAGTACGTCCATGCATCCACTCTAATCAACGAATGAGTGGCCATCTTAAAGTTACAAATTCCTTGGGAAAGTCCATCATTTCCGCAAGATCTTCACCTGTTGTTAAGATACAACTTGGTTTTGATGCCTGCTCTAATACCAAATGAAATTCCAGATGAACACAAGAATGATTCCCCAAAACTTAGCATTAATGAGTTTATACATTTATTAGAAATCTAATTAAGAAGTTACAACTCTCTTAATTGGATTTACACAAAACCTAAACTACTTTAACTTGTCACCGGAGAATTCTAACACACACAAGAACAGCTCTAAAGAACATGATCTCTTATCTTCTTGTACGCCGAAACAGAGTAAACCTTACTCTCTTGAAATGAAAAAGCTTGTGCTACATTTTCAATCTATACGGCTAACCCTAGCAAATTACTTAGCACCACTATTATATTCATGGAGCCTCTAAACTCTAAACGCTAACCCCTACCTTATAAACCCAATTTAGTTATTCAAATTCTTCTAAATGTGTAACACCAAAACCTAATTTCTACCTTATAAACTCAAACCGATATTTAATTTCGTCAAAATATATAATACTATACCCTAACTCCTAACTTTTAAACCCAAACCGATATTTAACTTCGTCCCAGATGTTCGTATCTATATGGTTACAGTATAAACCCAAATTATTTATTTAAATTCGTCTAAATGTATAACACTAAACCCTAACTCCTACTTCATAAACCCAAACCTATATTTTAACAGTCACCTGTCAATCAATTAAAACATCACCCAAATCTCATGCATCGTGGTTGCTTTCACGCATCCAAACCTAAAATCATAAAAAAAAAAGAACATCACAACTATATATAAAACTATAATTATATGTATAATAAAAAAACAATATCAAAAAGCAGGGTTTAGCTATGGACCGTAAATATAAACATGCAAAGTATTTATATTAAGCTAAGAAGCGGTAGACTTTAGTTTTTTCTTTTTTCGACGATAAAACTACAAAAAGAAGAAGTTTTATATTTTTTAAAGCACATAGTTATCATATCAACTAATATTGGTAAAACTACCATTTTCATTTTTATCGATGTTAAAATAAAATAATCTAAGAAAATTTCCTTACTTTCTTAAAATATATGGATAAAAAATAAAGAGAATAGAGAAATAATTTTTTCGATGATATTACCTAAGAAAATAGTATAAATTTTATTTATCATTATTATCTACATAAAGTTTAAAGAATTGTTTTATTAATTTTATTATCGACCCAAAAATTAGAAAATAACTTTACTCATCATTATTCCATGTTAAAAAAATTAACCAAGATCTATAGTGTCGAGAAAAGTTAATCACCATTAAAATTAATTACCCATTGTTCTTAATTTTCCCCATTTTTATGGCGGATATATATATATGAAATAACAATTTTCATGTAATGCTGAATTTTTATTTAATTCAGAAAATAACATTTACCAATTTGTATATTCTCCAAATCTTAATCTTATAAACATATAGAATTATTTAATTTTTAGTTGGGTTCAAATAACTGTTTATCAATATGCAAATTAATATGTTTTTTTTTTTGCAAGGATAGCCTCCGTTTGTTGTCCTCGTTTTCATACCAACAAAACACAAAACATTATTTTATATTTTCTCGGAGATATATACATCTACTGGTGTATAATTATTGAGACAGTTGGCATTGTTACAAAGTATAAGGTTTATTTGTAACGAAAGAAAAACAAACAATTAAAATCTACAATTTTCCACATTTAGTGGGAACACATGACACCGTTTTCTCAAGACGATCATCCCGTTATAATTCAGATGCTGAGCATTTCCAAAAACAGACATTCCGTTAGAACTTCCCATGGCCAAACACAAAACGCTGGTGATTGAATCCGCAACCATGAATTTTTTTCCGGGAAGCTCCAAATCCGCACCTCTAAAATGAAAATCAACTTGGAGATATGTCTCTAGAAATTATTCATACTATAATCATGTTCTTAAAAAGAACTTTAAATTTTAGAAATATGAATGTTATGCTTTTATCATATCACATCTAGAAAAGCGAAAGATACAAGACGGGCAAAAAAGTCAACAAAGAACAGCTTCCAACTTTCGTAGTCTTTAAAAAGGCATCAGTGTTTGCGTTTCTATATATCTCTTTAAAGCCTCGTAACTCTCATAAATCCCACCCAACCTTCAAAATAGAACACAAAGACATGGACCGACCGCAATCTCCAAAGCAAGCTATGTTCCCGTGTTGGCAACACTTTTTTCTTATCAGTTTGGTTGTGACACACACAGTTTCTCCAATAACCTCGCCTTCGCCGAGCTTTGACCTTATTCTTTTATCTCCACTGGATATGCAACGAACCAAACGATACCGTTTCCATCGCCTTTCGCCACCATGGAACCTCTTCTTCTTCTTGGATTGCTTGGACACTTAACCCAAGTAGTACTCAGATGGTTGGGACGCAAGCGCTCGTCGCCTTAACCAACTCAAGTGGCCAATTCCAGCCTTATACCTCCTTCGTGAGTTGATACGGCACGCAATTCACGGGGTAGCCTTACCTTCCATGCGAACCCCGTCTCCGCGAGTCTGGTCAATGGGGAGGCTACCATCTTCACAACTCTTGAGTTACCACCGAATTTGATCACGAACAACCAGTCTTGGCAGGTAGGACTTGTTGTTAATGGTGTTCCTAGAGGAATAAAAGGACGGGAGATAATATGAGATCGAGTGGTAGGACTAATCTCCGAACATGTCATATAAAAGACTCCATTGACTACGTATCTTTGTTTTCCGCTAATCAAAGAGCAGAGTTGGATAAAACAAACGAATTTCTTGGAGTGATCTTTTCGTAGTGGAATATTCTTGAGGGTTTAGTCTTCCTGAATCATGCAAATAAAAAAGGAGCAAATCTCTTGCCTTAATTTACAGCTTTAGCTATGAATCTTAGAGAAAATTTTAGAGATTGAGCTACGAACTTATTGTATTTGAAACTGGTATTTGTGAGTCCAAAAGCGAAGGCTGTGACAGCTCCAAAAGATAAGAGACACATATGTTGTCTTTTGATGGATGAGACACTGGAAGCAATAAGAGACTTGAAGAAAGCTATATCTTATAAGCTTTGGTGTTTTAAGAACATTGTAGAAAGATATCATGAGTTATTCCAAAGCTCATCCTGCGAATAAAATCAATAAATAGATCAAACAAACCTAAATGCAATTCATTGCTTTAGAGGCGGTTCATCAAACAGGAGTTGAAGATTAGATTTTTGAATAATTTTCATAATCCTTAATGATCAAAGAAAATAAAAGTCTCTTTGTTAACAATCTGGTCAAAACCATGACTATTGAAAAATCATGAACATAGACAATAAGAAGATCAAGTACGTTTCTGTCTAATGAACATGTTTAGCTAACGGGAAAAAAATGTTTAGCTAACGAATCTGAAAGGGTTCAAAAAAAGAAGCATGTTACCTCTGCAATCTCGCTCGTGATCTCATCTTGAAGAGCTGTTCGTGGATACGACCCATGATTTGTCCCTGAATTTCAATACATATTTAATGTGCTTAGGAAAAAAATATATATACGCTAGGGTTTATAGCAGTATAAAAGAAAAACAAATAAATAAATTCACGATAAAATAGAAAATATAGTTTGATAAGATACTACCTTTTCGGACGATAAAACAAACCCTAATATTTTTAGGAGATTTGATTAATTAAATCGACACACATATAATACAAACAATTATGAAAATCAAAACATGTAATCGATTAAACTATAAACTTCGTTTAAGAAGTTGATCAACAATTGGCAAAGATCTATGAGATCTTACTTTCCAAGAAACCATAACATAAAAAAAAAAAGAACAAAATATCCGCGACGACACTTCATAAAAAGGACCGTATATAAAACCAAACAATTACGAAAACTAAAACATGTAATCGACCAAACTATAAACCTCGTTTAAAAAACTCATCAACAATTGGCAAAGATCTATGAGATCTTACTTTCCAAGAGACCATAACATAAAAAGGAGAACAAATAACGACAAAATAACGACGACGACGTATCCTAAAAAGGATCAATTTTGAGGTACAAAAGAGAACTATAAACCATAATGGTTATGCATAAAAATCAAGCCGTGATGTTTGAGTTTCTAGGGAGACCTCCTATATTTATAGGATTTCTAATATAAGATTTTAAGGTTTTACACATAACGGTGTAAATTATACCGGGCCATTTTTTAGTCCGAAAATAAGCCCAATAATCAGATTAGGGTTTCTACACAACGATTAAATGAATCCGGCATTATTATCAAATTTATACACACGTTTTTTTTTAATATTTTGGAAATTTAACTAATTTAATCTAATTAAAGGGGGGGGGCAAAAACGTCCGCTCATATTCTGAGAGCGAACGTGAGGCGTTTCTACTTCTGCTTTAATATATAAGAAAGATAATTACATAAACAACTCATCACAAATTGGCAAAGATCTTGGAGATCTTACTTTCCAAGTGACCATAACATAAAAAGGAGATAAAAAACCAACGACGATGCATCATAGAAAGGACCAAATTTGAGGTACAAAAAAGAACTATAAACCATAATTGCTATGCATAAAAAGCCAGCCGTGATGTTTGATTTTCACTCAATAGAGACATCATATATTTATAGGAATTTCCAGCATAAGGTTTTAGGGTTTTACATATGACGGTGTAAATTATACCGGGCTTTTTTTTCCGTAAAAATATAAGCCCAATAAGCGAATAAGCGAATTAGGGTCGAAGAAACGAAAGCGGTACGTTTCTTTTTTTCACAATTTCGATTTTTTTTTATTAACAAAATGGAAATTTAACTAATCTAATCTCATTAAAGGAGGGGGGGGGCGGGACAAAAACGACTGCTCATATTCTGAGAGCGAACGTGAGCACTAGGCCTGGGCGTTCGGATATTCGGGTCGGGTTTTTCAGGTTCGGGTTTTTCGGGTTTAGAAAACTAAGACCCGTTCGGGTATTTTAAAACTTCGGGTTCGGGTCGGGTTCGGATCGGGTATTTTGGATTCGGATTCGGGTTTACCCGAAGTATCCAAATATTAGAAATTTTGTATCCGATTCTATGCAAAGTATTGAAAAATACTCGAAAAATCTATAAAACCCAAGTATTTTAACCCATATCTAACCCAAAGTAGGTAAAACACCCGAAAATATCTTAACATCCAAATAATTTAGGCACTTAGGTTATTACAAGTATAAATATTACTAATATATTATAACCATGTACTTATATTTTGGGTATGTTCGGGTACTTGTTCGGTTCGAGTTCGGGTCGGGTTAGGGTTTGGGTTTTCGGGTTGTGAAGTTGAGAACCCGTTCGGGTATTTTAAAACTTCGGGTTCGAGTTCGGGTCGGATTTTTCGGGTCAGGTTCGGTTCGGTTCTTCGGGTTCGGGTATTATGCCCAGGCCTAGTGAGCACTTTCGACTTCTCCTTTAATATATAAGATTTACCTTATTTGCAATCTTTAATTTTTATACTTATTTTTTTAGCTTAATTCGATAACCATAAATTTATTGCATGAACTAAATAGCTTTGTGGGACTCTAAAATGTTTAAAACGATTTCTTATTTGAGAGTGTTATTTAGGCAATTTAAACTATATCAATAAGAGTGATGAGATAATAAGAAGTTTAGATCTCTCAAATGGTAACGACATGTACCATGTGCTACATATTTCAAATCTAAGGAAGAAAAATTATCTAATGTGTTGTCATATTGTTGTTAAATCAAATCAAATCAAATCAAATCAAAGTCAAATTAATTTCTTACTTTAAAAAATGGTCAAACTATCCAAAAAGAAAACATTCAACAGTTTGACATATTGCTAATAAATTAAATCATTTTATTATGGTACATAGTCTGTTAGCATTTAATTTTGAAGATATTTTTCAGACTATATAAATCTCACATAAATTCAAAAACACATAGAACAAGAAAAATGGTTGCATACGTCGATAAAAACTTTTCATCGGCTTGTTTAGTGGTTTTACTCTTTTTTGTTGTCTCATCGTATGCAAGGTTTAGTACGATGGTTACAAAAGATGAGATCCACTTCATATGCACCCAACAAGATATCAATTCTTCATTATGTTTTGAGGTTTTAAAACCAAATCCTAAAATTGCTAGATTAGATTTTTCTGGTCTCTTCAAATTTTTGTTCAATTATCAGGTTCGGAATATTTTGGATACGCTGATGCAATTTAAATTGTTAGGAGGCTACACGCGGGATATTGAGTCTAAATATTCCGTATGCATAGAAGTATATGAAGATGAGTTTGTGGTCTCGATGGAGAAAGAGATATATTAGTTTGGATTTGTGGGTTTTTTTTTAGTATAGATTGTTTGGGCTTAGTTTCTTTATTTTTGGCGGAGCCCATTAATAGTTGGGTTTCATATTTTTTTTAAATTTCGTTTTATTAGGCAAGTTTGTGGGAGGTTTTTTTTACGGGGATTTTGATGCTGATGTTGCATCCTCTAAAGTGGGTTCTTTTAAATCTGACGTGGACACTTTCAGAGGGTTCAAGTAGTCCCTTTTATTAGTGTTTTTTTTTTTGTTTTTTTTTTGTTTTTTTTTTTTTTTTGTAAACCAGTCCCTTTTATTAGTTTGTGGGAGGTTTTTTAGGGGGATTTTGATGTTGATGTTGCATCCTCTAAAGTGGGTTCTTTTAAATCTGAAGTGGACACTTTCAGAGGGTTCAAGTAGTCCCCTTTATTAGTGTTTTTTTTTTTTTTTTTTTTTTTTTTTTTTTTGTAAACCAGTCCCTTTTATTAGTTTGTGGGAGTTTTTTTTACGGGGATTTTGATGCTGATGTGGCATCCTTTAAAGTGGGTTCTTTTAAATCAGACGTGGACACTCAGAGGGCTCAAGTAGTCCCTTTTATTAGTAAAGATTTTTGTATTACATGAATGTGTTGCTTTGACTAACTAATTTATATTGTATTTGTATCTAAGACTATAATTTTGTAACAAACTATTAGACATAAAAAATATTGTTAGACATATACATTGTTCTATATAATATGGTGAGAGAGCTTTCTTAGTTGTATATAAATTTGATTTATCTTCCATTTGAATGTTACTTTTTTGTTTTTTTATAATTATTTTTTCTTTTGAAGATAATGAAAGATATTGTTATAGTTATTTAATTTTCCTTTTTCTATTTTTTTTCATGAATATATTGTATGTGGAGTTATGAAGAAATAATACTTGTAGCAAAGATTGAACAAAACGAAAAAAAAAATTAAAACATATATGTAGGAGGAAAGATAAAAATCCAAAAGATTGTAAGTTAAATGTAAAAACAAAAGCAATCTATATCGGGTGAGAAAATTATCCAATTATATAACAAGAGGAGATCTTCTTTATGTGCTTCTATTAGATCATATGTCTACATGACAAGATTACAATGCAGATCATTTATGTTTAGCAATTTAACAAATAGTAAACTAAAGCTTTCCACAAAAAATTATGCATCTACTCCATCTTTGTATATGATTTTGAAATTGTTCATTAAAAAAGCTTAAAGCCGTATGTTGTCCTTATTTTTTGAGCAAATAAGAAGAAAGTTCTATAACAAAGTTTTAAGAGCTTAAAAAGAATTAAAAAGTTGCATGTGACAAAAAAGGACAACGAAAATCAAGAGGAATGAGTGAAGAAGAGGCATAGATAAAAGGGAAAAATGTCGTTTAATAGCCAAACTTTCAAAAAATGACCGTTTAATACGTGAACTTGTTATATGGCCAATTTAAACATGAAGTAAACGTTGACCGACCAATTTAAACATGAAGTATTCGTTGACCAGGCCAAAAACCAAACGCCGTTATCTGTCGTTAACAGATCCGATAACAGCCGTTAACGATTCCGTTATTACCTAAAACGTCGCGTTTTGGGCTTTCCGATCTCCACCAGAAATCGCCGGAAACATAATCGGATCTATCAATCGGCGATCAATACTTACCAGACTAATTTCAATCTCAAAGTCACCAGAAAACTCGATTCGTCGACTCTAGGCAAATCGTTAAACCGAGATGCGGGAATCCGGATACGATCGACGGAGTTTCGGAGATGAACGGTGGAAGAAAGCTTCGTACGACGAAGCGGTACTCGTTTTTCCCCGGGAAGCCATGGTGGCCGAAACGGAAACGAGATCTGACTTACGCGTTTGTGCAGCAGAACAATTTAACCGACGATGTTAAACGCGTGTTTGCACGCGCCTTCACGTAATGGGCGGAGGTGACTCCGTTGAATTTCACGCGCTCTGAGTCTCTGCTCGGAGCTGATATAGTGATCGAATTTTTCTCCGGTGAACATGGAGATGGAGAGCCGTTTGATGGAGCTATGGGGACATTAGCGCACGCTTCATCTCCTCCTACGGGGATGTTACATTTAGACGGTGATGAGGATTGGTTGATCTCTGACGGTGAAATTAGCCGTCGGGTTTACCGGTGACGTCGGTGGTGGATCTTGAATCGGTGGCAGTTCATGAGATCGGACATCTTTTGGGGTTAGGTCACTCGTCAGTGGAAGATGCGATTATGTTTCCGGTGATTTCTGGTGGAGATCGGAAAGCCCAAAACGACGTCGTTTTAGGTAATAACGGAATCGTTAACGGCTGTTATCGGATATGTTAACGACAGATAACGGCGTGTGGTTTTTGGCCTGGTCAATGAATACTTCATGTTTAAATTGGCCGGTCAACGTTTACTTCATGTTTAAATTGGCCATATAACAAGTTCACGTATTAAACGGCCATTTTTTTAAAGTTCGGCTATTAAACGACATTTTTCCCATAGATAAAATATAAACAAAGACTATAATACATGATGGCTACTCTATAGCATTCAACCTCTGCTTCCATTACCACCCCAACTTAATTAGCAGCCTTAGGCGCAACAATGGCCCTTCATTTGATATGTTGTTTCGAAGCATACTCAAACTTCTTTGCCTAGTCTTCTTCTCGAAATGTGCATAATCACTAAATTTGTTTTGAATCATTCAAATTTCAAGTTTAGAAAAAGAAAAATATATATAAAATACAAATAAAAAGAACCATAATGTAGTTGGCTACACAAACTTTGGGCTTTCTACTTGCTTCTTTTGAACAGTTTCTAAAATAGCAATTACGATTGACTTTGAATAGGGGTTTTGGTTGTATGTATGTCTCCCCTATTGATAACTTTTTACAAAAGTGACACAAAACAATAATTTGAGACACCATTAGTTGAATTAAAAATAGTGTTACAGACATATGATGGTTAATGAAAGGCGTGTATTACTATTTATAGGAAATTATTTTTGAAAGATTATAAATTAATTTTGTTGTTACTATGTACTAAATGCAGATTTACGTTTTATAAGTATTCAATTTTCCCAATTATGTCTTAATGTCATTTCATGCTTAAAATTAATTCTATGAATATCATAAAAGTTACGTTACATTACATAGTCAAGAATTTACGTTATTAGTTCTAGCCTAAAACATGCAATTTAGTGTAGGATTTTAATAAACATGCAGATAGTTTGATCATGGTCTCACACATTTTTTTGATCAATCCAAGGTAATATAAAAGGATGTAAATACAATAATCTAACGTGAGTCAAAAATAAGACCATCTTATATATTTGTCAAAGATTAATTTTACTCAAAGAAAATCATTAGAAGCAAAAAAAAAAAAAAATTCTCTATGACAAAATAAAAAAATAATTATTTATTTGATAGATATAGTTATATTATCTTTAAAGAAAACATTTTTTGTTTATACGTTTAAAACTATTATATGATAAACAAATTTAAAATTAATTTATAATCTCTAATTTTAGTTCAAAGTAATTTGTAACTTTTGATGATGAAAAAGAAAAAAATTATATGGAAAATAGGTATTTGGATGTAAGTGAAAAGACACATGTTAAAAACAGAGATGCCACGTGTTAACTTTTTAAAGCTTGTGTTTAAGAGAAACCTTATTTTATTATATAAGCAAAGTCATATATCATGGTTTTTACGGTTTTAACCATGATATAAGTATTGTTTTTAGAATCTTTTTGTTATTTCTACAGTTTTTCTTGTTTTTTCAGGTCTTTACACAATCAGAATGCATTTGGACAATTTTGGAGTAAAAGCGAGGAATAAAGATTGAAAAAACAAAATTGGAGTCAGACCATACCATCAGTGTCGACTGATGACATGAATTGGAGTCTGAACATGATATAGGTATTGTTTTTAGAATCTTTTTGTTATTCCTACATTTTTTCTAGTCTTTTTCAGGTCTTTACACAATATGGATGCATTTGGACAATTTTGGAGCAAAAGCGAGGAATAAAGTTTGAAAAACAAAATTGGAGTCAGACCATGTCATCAGTGTCGATCGACACTGTTGGTGTCGGTCGACAATGTTCACGGCCCAAGAGAAATCTCGACAATTATTAAGTTTTGAAGATTATTCCAGAATTGCCTAGAAGATTTTCTTATTTGCAATATTAGTTTTTGAGAACATATTATTAAATTTTAGGGTCATTATTTCAGATCTAATCTTTATTTTTGGAGAGAGAGACTATGTATGAGCTTGGAGAGAAGAATTAGACTACTTCAGAGAAGATTCAGAACTCTCTTACTCTATCTCTTAACTCTTTTATGCAATTTATGCAGATTATGATTTGTGTTTCTTTGATTAAGTCTTAGTAATTCACCTATTAGGTTTAAGGAGTTTTCATGTATTGATAAATTGCTAAATGGATCTATTGGTAGGGTAATTTATATTTCTTCACCTATATTTGATTTAATCACAAGTTCTAGATTGATCACCTAGAATCTAGCTCATAAGATAATAATTTAGACACGAGAGTGAACTTATTCCATGAAATAATCTTAGGTGAGCGAAAGTAGTTATTCTGAGATGAGAATTGGTTTAGGTACTTTTGTGAACAATCAAACCTGGATTTTAATGCTTATTTAATTTTAGAAATTTACAGATGAGAGTTGGAATTTCCGATTATTATATATAGTAAATCAATACATACAAGAATTGATTGATTTTAATTGCGAGTTTTGAGTTCGAGAACAATGCTTAATAAACCCTTACTTGTTTTTTGATTTGTAATTCTGATTTACTGAAAGGATTCACCCTAAGTCTAGCTTCTTCCATCAATTGGTTGTACTTTATTTGCAATCTTTAATTTTTATACTTATTTTTTTAGCTTAATTCGATAACCATAAATTTATTGCATGAACTAAATAGCTGTGGGACTCTAAAATGTTTAAAACGATTTCTTATTTGACTTTGTTATTTAGGCAATTTAAACGTAGAGCTGTCAAATGGTCCGTCCAAAGACCATTGGACGTGTCCGTACGGGCAATTTTTTTTATGGGCCAAGTTGGACGGTCCATAATAGACAATGGTCCAAAAAAATGTCCATGTCCATATGGGTAGCCCATGGTCAGTCCATTTTATTATTGTTATTATTGATAAATAAAAAATCATGATTTTAGAAGAAAAATTGAGAAATAGCATTTTTCCACCAAAATTGTAAAAATCGGAGACTTGCGTTTTTCCGCCAAAACGGTCAAATTGTAAAATTGTGTTTTTCTTCCAATATAATAAAATCACAATTTTGGCGGAAAAATTATGGAATTGTTTTTTCCCGCCAAAACGGTAAAATCATAAGATTATTTTTTTCTCACCGATACAATAAAATAACGATTTTAAGGAGAAAATTACGTTTTTCCGCCAAAACCGTAAAATCCGAGAATTGTGTTTTCCCGCCAAAACTTTAAAATTTTGTTTTCACCAATATAATAAAATCATGATTTTGGCGGGAAAATTGCGTTTTCCCGCCAAAACCATAAAATCAGAGAACTGTGTTTTCCCGTCAAAACCGTAAAATTGTGTTCTCGCCAATACAATAAAATTACGATTTTGGTGGAAAATTTGCGGAATTGCATTTTTCTGTCAAAATCATAAAATTAGAGAATTGTATTTTTCCGCCAAAACCATAAAATTGAAAAATTGTGTATTCTAAAAAATTGTGGAATATTGTCTTTCCTTCAAAACTGCAAATAATTTAATAAAAATTGATTTATTAAAATTTAAATATTTCATAAAATAGAAACTTATAAATGTAAAATATAATAATTTTAAATTTTTTAAGTTGTAATTGTAATTAAAATCATTGAAATATGATTAAAATGAGGACATGTCTATTGACTCATTTCTTGTAAATGGGCTCCCCACTGTCCATATGGTCAAGCTCATATTGTCTGCGGACAAAATTGGTCATATGCCCATTTAGACCATTTGTTTTTTGGTCCGGACCATAGCTCGCCCATCTTCATTTGGACTGGGCAAGCCCACGGGCGGCCCGTCTAATTGACAGCTCTATTTAAACTATATCAATAAGATTGATGAGATAATAAGAAGTTTAGATCTCTCAAATGGTAAGGATATGTACCATGTGCTACATATTTCAAATCTAAGGAAGAAAAATTATCTAATGTGTTGTCATATTGTTGTTAAATCAAATCAAATCAAATCAAAATCAAATTACTTTCTTACTTAAAAAAATGGTCAAACTATCTAAAAAGAAAACATTCAACAGTTTGACATATTGCTAATAAATTAAATTATTTTATTATGGTACATAATCTGTTAGCAATTAATTTTGAAGATATTTCAGCTATATAAATCTCACATAAATTCCAAAACACATAGAACAAGAAAAATGGTTGCATACGTCGATAAAAACTTTTCATCGGCTTGTTTAGTGGTTTTACTCTTTTTTGTTGTCTCATCGTATGCAACGTTTAGTACGATGGTTACAAAAGATGAGATCCACTTCATATGCACCCAACAAGATATCAATTCTTCACTTTGTTTTGAGGTTCTAAAACCAAATCCTGAAATTGCTAGATTTGATTTTCCTGGTCTCTTCAAATTTTTGCTCAATTATCAGGCTCGAAATATTTCGGATACGCTGAAGCAATTTAAATTATCAGCAGACTACACCCGGGATAAAGATTCTCAATATTCCGTATGCATAGAAGAATATGAAAATGCTCTAGAAAATCATGATAAAGCCCTCAAATATTTGGCTGCCAAAGACTATGCCAGCGTAAACACTATGGTCAGTGCAACAATGACAGAAATGTTTACGTGTACTGATGATTTGTCAACAATGAAGCCAATACCAAAATTATTTATAACGAAAAGTAATGTTATTTCAGATCTGTCTAACATTATCCTCGTGATTCTCAAAAAAATTAAGATTATGTAATTCTCGTGATCTATAATAATAATATTAGTATGGTCGTTGTCATTATCCCTTTTTAATATATAAAAAGTATTAAAGATATAAAAAGTTTTTGATGTTTAAATGTGCCATTTCTCTATTCATTCACGTTTGAATCTAGTCTATTAGCTAGACATAACAATATCTGTAATTTACGGGTCAGGCCCCAAAACCATTTTTATTTTCATTATTTGGCAAAGTCAATCTCACTTTTAATTTTTTAGCTATTAAGGTATTTTCTGACAAAAATGCCCCTGTCCACGTAACCGATATACAATGTCTATGTACATATCAGTTAGGCTTTTCAGTTACGTACAATATCTCGTTATAAATAGAAAATAATAGAAATAAATTAATAAAATAATATTATTATTTTCCACCCTCTTTTATTTTCACATTTTCTCTCTTTTTAATTTTATAGATATTTGTTTTATTTTTGTACTTTTAATTAAAATTTATTTTATTCTATCGTTTAAGACCCATTTTCATATTTTAATTTTTGACTTTAAATAATAATTTATTTAATTTTAGTTTTAATCGTGTTGTTAAAGACAATTCGAAATTAAAGATATCATGTACTCATGTGTATGTACAAAATAATAAATGATGTGCATATGTGTACGTAAACAAAAATATCAAAACAATTTACATATATTTGTCAAATTTAAACAAATTTTATTTTAGTTTACAAAACTTGCAAGAGTACGTATATGATCACACGAGAATAAAGTACATAAACTTTAAATACAAGGTAGGCACTCTATATAACGTTTTTAGTTTGTTTGTTTGTTTTTTTTGTCAACTATACATTAATTAATAAAATAATTTCTTGGTTTGTTGCCCAATTAGGATGAGAGAGTCTACAAAGGTGACTTCAGATAATAAAAGTCTAGAAAAATAGGGTAAACAGTCCGCTTTAATATTACATAAACGAGAGATAAGAGAAAGCGAAAAGAAGGGGAAATAGACACGGAGTGAACCAAACTCATCTAGCAGATTGGAAAAAGCGGGCTATTCTTCGGGTGACTGTATCCTTGAGACTAATTCCGAACAATCTGTTTCAAACACTTGACAATCGATCATTCTTCAAAAGATATTCTTCATACCCTTAATTAAAGCTTCCATCTCCGAGTGAAGGGGGGGGGGAGGGGAAGGACACCTCCGAAGGCACTTTGCACCGAATAGTATTGTTTGATCGATTCTTTGAAAACGCCACCATCCTATACCCATAGTTGGATCTGAACATTTCCAGATCCATCAATCCGACATCTTATTGAAGGAATTGGGCTTTCCAAAATTTCTGTACTAGAGCTAGTTTCGATCGGTTCCAACTGAGCTTCTTCTCACATTAAATTTTCACTCAAAGCATGATTTAGAATATCTGTGGGTTCAGATTGTAATCCCTTGAAAATCTTTTTATTCCTATTTTTCCATATGAACCACAAAATCCACGCATAACAGTAAGTGTTCTCCTCCCCATCTAGAGTAGATGGTAACTTCCGATAAAGATAATCTAGATTTGAAAATTCTGAGCATAGAGGAAAGATACCTGAAGTCGTAGGTATTGAGGATAATTCCCATATTTTCTGAGAGTGAGAGCACTCAAATAACGCATGATTTACTATTTCTTCTGCCATCTCACACCTTTTACAGATAATATCACATTGAATTCCTCGATGTGCTAATTTTGAAGTTACTGCTACGGATCCCGAAGCAATTTTCCATAAGAAATATTTTATTTTTGGAGGGGCTTTGACTTTCCAAGCTTGTGCTTGTAATGTTTTATAATTTGGGCCCCATTATATCGTTTCTGTCATCTCTCGAGCAACCCGATAGCCTGAGTTTATTGTATATCTTCCTGATCTTGTATGATGCCAAATAAGCCTATCTGGTTTATAATTTTGACTAATAGTCAATCCTCTAATAAACTGAATGTCCACTGGATCCAAAAATTCTTATAAAATGGGAATGTGTCATTCTTTAGAAGTCAGATTAATTAAATGATTAACCATCAAATTTGGAAGTAATGATTTTTTTCTTCTATTTGCGGGTCGTGGATTAACATCAGGAATTCAAGGATCTCGCCATATTGATAGATTGAAACCCGAACCTAATGACCATCTAGCTCCCGCTTCAACTATTATTTTAGTCGGAAAATACTCTTCCATCCAAACGATGGAGAATTTGATTTTTTTGCATGTAAATGATGAATATTCCTGAAATATCTGCCTTTTCTCATAATCCAAAGAAACCACCACCTCATCACCTGTATCGAAAGGCACCACCATTTGGAAAACAAGAAGATTGAACCCATTAACTGTGACATAGATGCTCCCAGAATCTACATCAATATCACGGATCAGTCCCACTTGTTTCCCAATTGCCCTCAAAGTAGCTTCTTCCCATAGATGCATTCGCAAATCAGATACTCTAACCCAGAAGTTTATACCCGACGGATAGGTAGGAGCGATTATAGGTTCCCATCTAATCAACAAAATCATCCAGCCATCGAAATGGTAATGGAACATTCCGAAGAACACCTTGCAAATACTCCTCGGATTGAAAGTTGAACTGAAACATACTTTTCCCCTAATCTGCCCCCAACCACCTTATCTTCCATCTTCCATATCTTCGGCATGTTTGCAACCAGGGAATTCATCATTTGGATGCTTGGATTCATTAATCTCCCGATCAATGTTAGAGAGAACTGTTGAATTCTTTGAGACAATGTCGAACCTGAGATTTTCACTACCTCAGAGTGAAATATCGCAGCTTTGCTCATATTCAAACCCAACTGAGCCATAGAAACCAAAGAAAACAGAAGCCTTAAGACCTTATGAAGAAAAAGAAAAAGAACCCGAAAACTGCTTTTATGAATTGCTTTTGTTCTGTCTCTTGGAAATGAAAAGTGATGAGAGACCAAAAGCATTTTCTGATCCTTTTATAAAGACACCAAAGAGAAATCTCAATAGAATCACTTCTGATGCAGTCCAATAACCACGAGATCACCTCACCTGCCTTAAACACTAACAAAATCTGGTCTTTAATCTTCTTTAGACTTAAAGAGACCGAAGAAAGAAGGGAAACCAAATAATTTGTCTCCCTAATCTTGCCATTTCCGGCGACAAAGAATATTTGTAGCCAACCGATCAGATCAGCATGATCTTTCCCATAGAGCCTTCCAATTCTAGAAAATCTCTCCTTTAAGCCCAATCCAACGAATCCACTGTTAAGAAGCTTAACCTCTATCTAGCAGATATGGATCCCCGAATCATTGCCTTTTACGAATCGAAGATTAAAACCCAAATCGATTTTGTACTCTAATCCCTTGAATTTCCTTAGAATAAAAGGAATCCACTGGAGATCCCATCAAATCAATCACCATTAAAACCTTGAAAACTTTGAAACCTCCATCGACTCTCATCAAACCAGACCACCAAAGCAACCCAAATCCCTTCCCCAACCAGAACCCAAAACGGAATCCACACAAATAGACTTGAAGATCTAAGATTCGAAATCCCCATCTCAAAACCCTAGATTAGACGTCGTCGTCATCTCTCTCTCGCTTTAGCTACCACAATTATGGGCCTGATTGGTTACGGCTGTAGTTCTAGATTTTTTGCTGTAGATTTTAAACTGTGGATTTTCTTGCTGTAGCGGTAGAATTGTAGCTGTGAGTTTTAAAATAAAAGTATGATTGGTAAATATTAGTTGTATGTTGTAACTTTATGTATTTATTATGTAAACTTAAATTTTTGGAAATAAATAAATATTAGAAATATATTATAACCAAAAAAAAAGCGAGAAAGCAGAAGAAGGAAAGAACCGTAGAGAGAAGAAAGAGAAAATATCCCAAAGCTCATTTTTGGGTGCTGTGGAAAATTTGATTTACAAAACCCATATATTTCCTTTTTTTATTTTGTGTGCTGTAGCTTTTTTTTTTTAAGTAAAAGAATGATTGGTTTACTATTTGGCTTTAGAAAGAAAAGTTGGCTTTTTACAGTATCTAAAGCTCCTTCTAATCAGGCCCTATATCTCTTTAGTTTGTTTTAAAATAAATTATGATAATAAAACATTACTATTTTTAATTACGATAATGGAGAGAGAATGTGATGTAGCGTCCCTCACATAGACAGTGCTCGTGTACTTTCCTTATTTGTCATTGTTTGACTTACATTTCGATTTGGCTTCACACTACATTGAATTTTAATTTTTAAAGATCAGACTAATCATTATTTATCTAATTATCTTTATTTTCAGTTAGCATATCTATATTTACATTTTTGGAATATATTTAGTAAATAAATCCTGAATTGACTACTATTTACAGAGAATACCACTGGCAGGTCGGGTCAATTTAAATATTTTGACCCAAAAATCTACAATCGGATATTGGCTTTAATTACTATAAAAAAAACTAAACGAAACTCTATTGTTACCAAAACTCCTGCCCATATTCATTTTGATTTCTTAAAAATATAGCTTTGACATAATCGTTACCAAAAAAATCCGCACATAATCAATTTGATTTCTTAAAATATCTCAACTATTTATATGACATTCAAACTAATTACTCACACACATACCTTATCCAAGATATCTTCTTTCCCAAAATTTTCAAGAAATCGATTTTTAGAAACAAATTAATGACTCAAAATATATAACGATAGCATATTCCTAAATACCAACCTATTTTAGAGATAATTATTCTAATTTAGTTACGGTATCGAATATTTTGTGTTTTACGATCAAGAGATTTTTACCTAACTTATGAGCCTATAAATATTCTAATGCTTCAAGTCTCACAACATCCTCAAAAATCACAAAAGCAACGATCTACAAAAAAGGCAGCAAACAAACATTAATTCTCTTAACGTCTGCATAATACCAAAAGAAAAACAGATTCTTCAACTTCTACCTTTCATACAACAAAACATGCAACGATTTGAATGGGTGAATAATTCAAGCTCTGAGTTAAGTAGTTATCTCCCAAAAGATAACATCCAAGTTGGTGAATGATTTATTTTACGGAGGTGAGAAACTAAGGGTCACGTTTTAGTCACAACTTGTTTCTT